GCCCTGAAGAGACGAGGCTACCTCCCATCCCATCCTTGCGTCAATACTCCTAGCGCACCCCCTATTCCTACTATCTTACCTCAGTGAGACCAACACTCAGGACCGTTTCCCTACTAGTATCGAAGGGGCCTTGGACCGAACAGTAGTGACAGGCACCAGCGCTAGTGACCTAGCCCTGATGGAAGCGTAGTCGAACAAGCCTCGTGGCACAGGAACTTCGAACGCCAGGCTCAAGCAATCACCTATTAGCCCCTAAGTAGACCAACTAGTAACTCGCGTATCATCAGTTGGTCGTGACCTCCTCCCAACCCTATGGTTATATATATATATATATATATATATATATATATATATGTGTGTGTGTGTGTGTGTGTGTGTGTTCTGTATATATGTGCGGGTAGGCTGTGTGTATATATTTGTAATGTATGTGGACCTGTAGCAGACGCTGCTCCCCACCATGGAGCATCTGCGAAGTGAGTATCAATGAGAGGTGCTCCTCTCACCTCCACCAGTACCTGTGTGAGCTATATATATGTGTAGGTAGTGTATCCCCCTAGAAGCACCTTGCCTCGACGCTATAGAGGGGCGATCCTATGCGCCCTTAATCTGTTGCCAACGAATAGACAACCCTCCCCTAAAACCTGGTAATCAGCTAGGCCTCCTCCCCCTCCAAAGGGCCCATGCCTCGCTTTGTCTATCCTCGGTAGTAGACTGTCGCCCACCTATTAGCAGATTCCGGTCATCGGCTAGGCACTTCCTATAGGGATCGGAAAGGACAGACTACAGACTCAATAGGTGGTGGGCCATCATCCGTCCTTCCACTAGCCCCCAGCCTTGTCCCTCCGATGTGCCTATCGTGGTTGTACCTGTAGTCAATATCTGGGGTAGTGTCTCATATGTGAGCTATATATATGTGTAGGTAGTGTGTATCCCCCTAGAAGCACCCCTCGACGCTGCAGAGGGGCGACTCTATGCACCCTTAATCTGTTGCCAACGAATAGACGAACTCCTGTTTTTCCTAATTGGAAATTCTTAAATGGTTTGGTGCTGGGAGCAGGGGATTGTGGTGGTTGTGATGGTGGGAAACGACGCGCCCTGCGGCGAAGGGGCTAGCCTGTAGGCAGAGTTCTACCGCTCCATTCGCGCCAAGTTCGTGTGAAATTTTGGGGCGGTCACTCTGGAATAGGGAATTTTCAAGCCTCGGTGTCAGATTCGTCAAGCCCACGCGGGCGTCCTAGCGTGGGGTCACCGAGTGTCGGGTGGGGCAGGGGAATCCAGGCTCGAAAGTGAGTCGGGAGCGCGCCCGCATTACGAGAGAGTTATGGGAGTCGAGTCGCACCTTCGTATCCTAGAACCAGCCTTCGCCAGGAGTACGAATCCCCCTAGCGACACCAGCGACAGTTAAACCGAGGCCGCCACGTGGCGTGGGATGCGGACTAGGGCAACACAGTCAGATCGGTGTAGGGCAATATCAGGGGAGGGAAAGGGAACCGATCAATCAACACAAACCCACTCCCTCCAAAGTGACAGACCCTGACGGGGTTATGCAAATGAATCTGCTCGGTTCGTCGCAGAGCGCTCCGCATGTTCGTGTCGCAGTACACGCTATAGTCGTCTGCGATCGGGAAGGTCGACAACATACTGCGATGGACCGATACAAAGGTTGATCACGGGCAAAAGCCCGCGCTCACGTCCGCCGAGACAAACGCTAGCTCCATGCAAAGATCAGTGAAACCCATGTCTCTCTCTCCCTCTCTCTATGCATCTCTCTCTCTCTGCATCAACCTGAATGCCGGGTCAGGGATCCGGGGTCCTGTCGAGTCATGGGGATATCAGCCGCATCGTGGAGACGCGAGCGACTGATCTCTCCGGTTATTGAATTTAATTCGTGGGGGCGACACCAGCCCGTTCCCCCGGATTTCCTGCGCGCACAGAGGGGGAGCGAAAGGGAAGGTGTTGGCGCCAGTCCCGCACCTATACGCGACGTTAAGATTGGAAAAAGGGGTCGAGGAAGGGAGGAAGATCCAACACACTCATGCATCCATGCAGACGATTGACACCCACCACTCCTTATAAATGCGCTTATAAGCGCCCGCACATCTACTCGTTCAGCCATCTTGGTTAGTGACACATTCAACATCCGTAGCCTCTCGTACCACAACATGCATACAACGGAACACCCATGCGTCGGGACCTTGCACACATCACACTTGGACAAAGCAACAATGGAGATAAAAGCGAGTCCCGCAACATACAAAATTTCTCACATGGTTAGCCGCCCTGGGCCCAGCCCCAATCCGTCAATACCACCGACAACCATAGCCACAAGGCCCTGCCGCTGCCGGCGTCCGATCTCCACCATCGCTTAGTCCCTCCGACTGTCTTACCCCAAGTCTATCGCTAAGCCCGCCCCGCGTCGTCACCTCGCCCGTCACTTGGGCTCGTCGAGCCTGTTCAACGCCGCAGACCTGGCGCATAGCTCGTGCAGCATTGCAATCGAGATCAAAGAGGAGAGGAAGGGGTTGCGAGAATTTATAACGCCGAAGGCGGCAGGGCGTCAGCGTGTGGTGCGGGTAGCGCAGGGTGTAGATGAGCAGGACAGAAGAAGGGCCAGGGTTCCAGAAGGATCGAAGGCTGCGAGTCGAATGCTCTGTGCGATTGGGGTGGTCGTTCAAGTGGTGTGTGCTTTCCGCTTTCACCACATTGATCCGACCATCCCAATTACACAACCAATCATTCGCGATGATGGGTAAGGGAAGGATCAGACTTCACTCAAGGGAAGACGAAGAGGCATGCAAGAAGGGAACGCACGACAAGAAGGGAAGATGGCGCGGGGATGCCAAGCGGGGGAACGGGTTTACGCGGAGCGCAAAAAAATGAAAAACAGCTGCGCGCGAAAAAAAAGATCAAAATTCCTACCCACACTAATTCCTAACTGTTCTTTGAATTTCTCGGCGCGGTTACTAGCCGACCGTGCGAAAAGGTATCAGGGCAATTCTGGAAAAGAAAAATAAGTTCCTGGTCCGTCCCCCCCCTTTCTTTTCAAGAAGGAAAGGGAAAAGAAAAGCAAAGCAGGAAAAAAA